CCAACCAGCGATCTATCTATCCATGCATGTCTCCATTTATTCCTCTGCTCATGCATGCATCCATCAACTCGTCCATCCATGTATGTATCCGTTTAACCAATCAGCAAGCTATCCATCTATCAACACATTCATTCCTCATTCCATTAGTCCATTAATCCAACCAGCGATCTATCTATCCATGCATGTCTCCATTTATTCCTCTGCTCATGCATGCATCCATCAACTCATTCATCCATGTATGTATCCGTTCAACCAATCAGGAAACTATCCATCTATCAACCCATTCATTCATCATTCCATGAGTCCATTTATCCATCCAGCAATCTATCTATCCATACAGGCCCCTATTCACCCACCTATTCACTCCTTCATACATTCGTCAATCCATTTATATATCCAACTAGCCAGTCAGTCAGTCAGCCAACCAATCCTCTATTCAATCATCCGTCCACCCATCTGTCCATGCATCTATGCATGCTCATCGGCTGCAGTCCACTTGAAGTGCCCGAGTGAATGATTTTAATTAATTTTTCGTATATAATTAGAGCTTAAAGACTACCAGTAAATCAGTAATATGGGATGTATTAACCCAATTTGGTTTAAAGTAATGAAGAACTGGTAGAATTTTCCCACAATGATATGAGTTGAGCTGATGTTTCCTTTCAATTTCACATAGCCTTGCTTTCCCAAAAAGTTGTTGTCATCCAGACACCAGTGGACTACAGTTATGACCTCCCATCGGTCTTAGCAACACCTTCAACGGGAGTCGAACCGCGACAGTTTATGATGGGAGCTTGACACGTTAACCACTCGTCCATATTGCCACGAGCCCTCTTGGGTCACAGGGCAGATGTGAATTTGAAGTGGTGCCATATCAAATTCTTTGGTGGGATTGTCGATGAAGCAAACGTATTTTTGCTTGAACAATCGACTATATTACTTATTTTTCGTATATAAGTAGATTTTCGAGACTACCAGTAAATCACTAATATGCGAAGTTTATATGAGACGGTTGGACTCCTGCTGTGGGTGTTGATAAGACCTATGCGAGGTCGAAACTGTAGTCCACTTCTGTCTGAATGAGAATACCTTTTGAGAAGCAAGTATACTCTACTGATTTTTATATAAAGAATCTGATTTTCATATCATATTCTTTGGTGGGATTTCCGATGCAGCAAAAGTATTTTTGCTATAACAATCAAAGACCTTACTTATTTTTCGTTTCGAGACTACCACTACATCTCATATTACTGATTTACTGGTAGTCTCTAAACTCTACTTGCATACGAAAAATAAGTAATGTCATCGATTGTTATAGCAAAAATACTTTTGCTGCATCTGCAATCCCACCACACATCTAACCTATGAGCCAAGGACACTCTTGGCAGTGTGACCGATTGCTTAACGTGTCACAGTTCGAGTCCCGCTGGGGGTGTTGATAAGACCTGAGTGAGGTCGAAATTGCAGTCCACTTTGGCCAGAAGGACAACAACTTTTGGGAGAGCAAGGCTCTGTGATATTGAATGGAAACATCGGCTCTACTCACATAATTGTGTGAAAATGCTATTTTCAGTACTTCATCGTCGTAAGCGAAATAGGATGAATACATCCCATATAATTGAATTAAATGAGGACTGCAGCAATATCTTGAGGAGCCAAGAGGATGCTGTTTAGAGCTTGTTTGTGTGACCGTAAGACCAGAATAAAAGCGGTGATTATACACATTTGAGTCGTTGATTTGAATGAATTCCACAAGCCGGCTCATAGTACGTAAAATTGAATGCAATTCAGTAGATATGCTGATTAGAACATTAAAATAAGATGTTAACAGTTCTTACCAAGGCATGAGACGTTTGACGTGTAACAAACGCGAAATTGAGAAACATCTACGCGGAAACTATTACGACCCTTAAAAAAGGACTAAACTTGCTCTTCAAAATGGCGGAAAAATTCTAGAGGACATCAATATCTCCGAT